TCATTCAAAGAAAAGATAAAACCCTAAATCAAAAGCTACTTTTTACATTGTATCCTCTTCCCTAATAATTATTCTTATGGACTATTTATAGATGTAGGAAACCCTGAATAAAATAATTGAGTCCAAAACAAATTAGGAACTCAAAACCTAAAAGGAGTTGAATTCCACTTGAACAGTAGCCGACTCCAACACTTCATCGTCTCGCCTTGAATAGTTGCCATGTGGCGCATGTTTAATTCCTTCAAAATTCGCATTCTGCAACACTTTGCCCATATATAAAAAATATTATTATTATATTAAAATTAATCCATTAAGTTGTCTGCTTGATTTCCTTCTTCTATCTTTAATTCTTTTTAGCTCCAAACTTCTTTATTTTTCCATCAATTCAATCCTACAAATAAAATACACTATTAAGCACAATTCATAAAATTCATGCTCAAAAAGGACAAATATAAATAATAAATATGAGGCAAATAATGATTAAAAATATGTATTTTGGCCTCACATCACATACCGGTACATTTTTATTCGTACTGACGTCCCATTGCCTAGGGACGCTAATTTTTGTTTCATGCGAGCAGGTTCAAGCAGGGATTCTGATCGATCCACCCGCTAGGATTTAGGTTGAACTGTGAGTTGGTAAGCTTCATCTTATCCTGGGCTATCAGAAGAGATTTACTTTTGTTGCACAGTTTTGGTATAGTGGGGGCCTTGTCCCGATATTGCTTATGTCACTCATAGAGGCTATTGTGGACACAATATTCTGGGTTTTCTTTTGTATGTTTCAATCTCCAGCCCATAGACTTGTCATGTATATATATATATATATGTGTGTGTGTAAATAGGTATATCTTCAGTTGTGGCCTCGCCGACTAGCTAATACATCTTTATTTGTTTAGCTTGTCTACCATTATTTGTATGGTTTATTCTCATTCAGGTCATGACCTTCAGGGTCTAGGCTTCACTTTTTAGAAGTTGTGTTGCCCAATCCTTTTGTCTCACAGTTTGGTTAGCTAGTATGTTTTAGTGGGTAACTTGATCTAATAGGGTATCTAGTGCCAGTTACGCTCCTTATTTCGATGAGTGACAATATCGGTACTGAAACAATTCAAAAGGGCTATAGGATGGACTATTGCTGATATTATTGGTATTCTACCGGGCATTTGTACTCACAAAATCCAACTCATGCCATACAGTTGATGAATCAGGGATTCCGACTCATTTAGGGCTTAATATCTAGAGTTTTAGTTTCCTCAATGCCTATTGTATGCGCTAAAATGATGTTTAAATGCTAATTTGCAGCAATGAAGGCAAAAAAACAAGGAAAGGACATTACCAAGCAAATAGAACTAAAAAAGCTGAAGAAAAGAAATATTGATGATCACCAAAGCCACTCGGCGAATCGCCGAGTAGCTCTCCAGCTTGCCAAAAATTGCAGCAGGCCAGCCCTTGGATAAAGAAAACTCGGCGATGGAATGTATAAGTCAGCAACACACTGATTGGATTGGCGAAGGAGATTTAAACTGCCTAAAATTACAGGATGATTGGTGAAACAGCAGGTCAAAAGGCGAGAAGAAGGAACGACTTCAATCACCTAAAGTTACAACACAGAAAGTATAAACACTCAAGCAAAAAAAGCGATGGACAGGAGCATTTGGCGCGTCGTCAACCTAGTCGTCGACGCTCGACTTATTCCGCCGAATGGCTCTGAAGCCAACAATTCGAGAACGTATAAATTGAATTTTGAAAAGAGGACAAATAGTTCCTTCACATTCAAACTCTAGGTTTTTTATGTAAAGCACTCTAAACATTGTTTTTAGTCTTTTGAGAAGGAATTTAGGGTTGGTTTTGATTTGGAACTACTTTTGAGCATTGTGAAGACTTGCAATCTGTTACTCAAACTGATGGAGGACATAGTTGGTAATATTTTCTTGCTTTTTATGATGATTGGCTAAAACCCCCATTCTTGGGGGTGTGATTATGTGATTGAATGTTTCAATCAGCTTATGGGTGCTAGTATTTACTGATTTAATTGTTGATTTGAAGTGGGTTCAATTGATAGTTGAGTTCGAATTGATGAATTGTAATTACAAATGCAGTTCTAGTGTAGTATTCTAAGCTTCCTTGAGAAAGAAGTCTTAGAATTAAAGCTATCAATTGATTATTGTAGTGATTGGGTTATTGTGAACTTAGCTTGAGAAAGTGGGTCTAAATTCAATCCTACTAATCTAGCTTGAGAGAGTAGATTTATTGAGGTTTTGGGTTGTTCATATATGTTGGGTTTGTCGAGGTTCGAGAGAACTTATTTGATTCGTAATAGTTGATTGAGAAATAGTTGTTACACCTAAAGCCTACCCTACCCACTAAAATTCAATGGCTTGTAGTAAATAATAATCACCCGTACAGTGAAATTGGCATTTAATCGATCACATCTCCAAGGATCCCTCTCTACTTGATTACTCTCGTGCTTTCGTAGTTGTTAATTGCTCAATCTAATCCCCCCTAATTGACACTAGTTGTCAAACCCATGTCATTTACTTTAATTGTTTCGAAAATATCTACTTCTACAAACGATTGGAACACTTTTTTCACTTCATAATTGAATTATCTACCGTATCACTCCCTGTAGGATAAACCCCAACTCTTTGTTGGGTTTATACTTGATTACGACCACCTACACTTAGAATCAGATGAAGTGTAGTTGAGCGTTATCAACAGCCAAGTATTGAGCACGAAAGAAGATTTAATCCCCTGATGCAAGAGGTTGTGAAGAAGGAAATCATCTAGTGGTTAGATGTTGGAGTGGTATACCCTATTCCAAATAGTAATTGGGTTTGCCCAATGCAATGTGTGCCAAAGAAAGGAGGAATCATTATGGTTCCCAATGCTAAGAATGAGCTCGTTCCGATGAGGCCGGTGACTGGTTGGAGAGTATGTATGGACTATCGCAAGTTGAATGCATGGACTGAGAAAGACCACTTTCCAATGTCGCTCATGGACCAAATGTTAGATTGTCTTGTTGGAAAGGGTTGGTATTGTTTTCTAGATAGGTATTCGGGCTACAATTAGATCTCCATAGCTCTGGAAGATCAAGAGAAGACCACTTTCACTTGTCCTTATGGGACTTTTGCATTCAAAACAATGCCATTTGGGTTATGTAATGCTCCGACAACCTTTCAATGTTGCATGATGTCTATATTTTCTGACATAGTGGAGGACATGATAAAGGTATTTTATGGATGATTTTTCTATAGTTGGTGATTCATTTGATGATTGTTTGACTCATTTGGCTGAGGTGCCAAAACGGTGTGAAGAGTGCAATTTTGTGCTCCATTGGGAAAATGTCACTTTATGGTGAAAGAGGGTATAGTTTTGGGTCACCAAATTTCATAGAAAGGAATTAAAGTTGAAAGAGCTATAGTTGAGGTAATAGAAAAATTGCTACCACCTATCTCTGTAAAAGGTGTTAGAAGTTTTCTAGGGTATGGAAGTTTCTACAAGAGATTCATAAAATATTTCTCGAAAATTGCACACCCATTGTGCAAACTACTCAAAAAGGAATCTAAGTTTGAGTTTGATGATGCTTGTTTGAGAGAAGTTGGGGAGTTGAAAGAGAAAATGATTTCCGCACCAATAATTATTTCACCAGATTGGGGACAACCGTTTGAGATAATGTGTGATGCGAGTGGGGTGGCACTTGGCGTAGTATTGGGTAGAGGCAAGAGAAAATTCTTCATTTTATTTACTATGCGAGCAAAGCTTTGAATGTTACTCGAAAGAACTATATTGTGATTGAACAAGAATTGGTTGTTGTGGTTTCTGCATTTGAGAAGTTTAGATCCTATTTGCTTGGCACTAAAGTCATTGTGCATACTGATCATTCCGCATTAAGGTATCTTATGGCAAAGAAAGATGCAAAACCAAGACTGATTAGATGGGTATTATTGCTACAAGAGTTCGACTTTGAAGTTAAAGATAAGAAGGGAACTGAAAATCAAGTTGCTGATCACTTGTCTAGATTAGAAGAAGAGGCTACGATCAAGTTAGAAGATGGAGTCGAAATTGATGATGTTTTCCCTGATGAACAAGTATTGTCTGCTTTTTATGACCTTATTCCTTGGTTCACAGATTTTGCTAATTATTTAGCAAGTGATTTGGTGCATTCGGATTTGTCATTTCACCAAAGAAGAAAATTCATGTCTGATGTGAAGAAATTCTTTTCGGAAGAGCCTTACTTATTTCGTATTTGTACTGATGGGATTATTCGTCGTTGTGTGCCAAAAGTTGAGATGATGAGTATAATGGAGGTGTGTCATCCATCTCCTGTTGGTGGGAACCATAGTGGTATCTGGACTGCTCACAAAAATTTGCAGTGTGGGTATTATTTGCCTACTATCCACCAAGATGCTCATGAGTTCACCTAGTCTTGTGATCGTTGTCAAAGAGAAGGAGGAATTTCAAGGAAGCAAGAACTACCAATAAACCCGATACTAATGATTGAGTTGTTTGATGTTTGGGGTCTTGAATTCATGGGTCCATTTGTGAGTTCGAATGGGATGAAGTATATTTTTGTAGATGTTGACTATGTGTCTAAATGGGTGGAAGCAGTAGCGCTTTCAAACAATGAAGGTAAGAGTGTCACAACATTTCTGAAAAAGAATATCTTCTCCAGATTTGGTACACCAGGGGAAATTATCAGTGATGGAGGTTCTCACTTTTGTAATAAGTTGTTCAAAATGTTGCTTAAGAAGTATGGTGTTCGTCACAACATCGCAACTCCTTATCATCCGCAGTCTAGTGGGCAAGTTGAAGTGTCGAATAAAAAGATAAAGCAAATTCTTGCAAAGACTGTGAATGCAAATAAAACAGATTGGTCAAGATGACTTGATGATGATCTATGGGCTTATCGTACTGCATTCAAAACTCCCATAGGTATGTCCCCCTACCAAGTTTTATATGGGAAGTCTTGTCATTTTCCTGTAGAGCTAGAGCGCAAAGCAATGTGGGCACTCAAAAAGCTGAACTTGGATTGGGGCGCCACATTAAGTCAAAGATTAAATGAGATGAATGAGGTCGATGAGTTTGGCCTGAAAGCATATGAGAGTTCAGCCTTGTACAAGGAGAAGATGAAGAAGTACCATGATTAAAACATCGCAAACGAGAATTTGTTCCCGGTGATTTGGTACTCTTATTTAACACAAGGTTGTGCTTGTTCCCTGTCAAGCTCAAGTACAAGTGGACCAGGCCTTTCAAAGTGACTCAAGTATTTCCACATGGAGTGGTTAAACTCGAGAATAATGAAGGAATGAGGTTCACGTTGAATGGTCAACAGATAAAGGTCTACTTGTGGAAGTTTGAAGAAATTAATAAAGTGAGAGAGAAATGGGATCTCGATGTAGTCTGAGTAATCAAGGTGTCTACGTCGTGTCGCGACGTTAAATCAAGCGCTACTTGGGAGGCAACCCAAGATGTAATATCTAGCCAATCTTAGGAATGTTTATATATTTTTATAAACTTTTAGCTTTCTTTCCTTTTATATAGAAGTTTAGTTTTATGAAATTTTTAGAGATTGGCTTGAGTAGGATAGAATAGGGTCCGTGTCCCAAAACAATCAATAAAATGTAAAAAGGAAGTCATAATGTTTGCTACGTGTGCAGGAATGCATAGAAAAAAATCTGCAAAATAGTCACTAGTACAGTGGTCTACGGTTCCCATAGACGGTCTATCGTTCAATCTATGGACCGTAAATGGCATCCGTAGACCCCATGTATTTTTTCTAAAAATCACTAAGTGTCAGGGAGAACCACGAAACCTATCGACGGACCGTTGATTGACTCACAGACCGTCGATGGGGTTTCATGGATCCAAACTAGGGTTACAGTCGACCCGACCCGGACCCCTTTTAATTAAAACTCTTCATTTTTAAAAACACCCCCTATTTCTCTCTTTCTTCCCCAACCGTTACAACTCTCAAAATAACCACCCCTACACATTCCCAACTACCCGTTTAACCAAATCACTCCTAGAATTACTCCATTTCCTTCTCTCCCAGAATCCCTCACTTATTCTCTCAATTTTATTCCTTTTTCTTTCTTCTTCTTCCCATATTACTGTCCAACTAAAGAAAAGGTCCGGGTTCAGCATCACGAGTGTTTGAAGGTTGAAAAGAAGCCTAATAGGAACACACCCACCAACTTTGCTTACTTTAAAGGTAATTGATTTCGACACCATGAACTATTTATTAGTTAATGTTGAGATCACAAAGTTGTACTTGACCTTGGGTATGATTTATATGTTAAAAATGTTAGTATTAGTTCTAAATTACCCTTGGAACGATGGTTTTGTGGGTGTTGTTGATTAATTGGATTAAATCATATCATGTATATCTAGATGCACTTCTTGACTTAGGGTTTTAAAGTATTATTGTTTGAAAGAATAAATTGCATGATTGAAGCCCTAAGAATGATAGAATAACATGTAAATATGTTTTAATGCATATTCTTAATGTTGTATAGAAATTATAATTCGTAGTTGATGTGTGCTTGTTGTTAAGTGAATCATAGAAGCAATAGTTGTAACGACTCGAAAAATGATAGGTTGAACTAGAGCCTTAACATTTAGGTTAGTGTGACTTTAAGTTGATGTCTAGGCTGTTTTAGAACCTAAATGGAGCAAGGTAGAAGCCTAGGGTGCAAACAAAGGCCTAGGCTATCAAGATAGGGTGAAAGAAGCCTTGTTCCTTGAGGGGCTGTTTGGCGATGGGGCTGTTTGATCGCCCAAATGGTTGGGCGAGTCGCCCTTGAGCTCTTTTGCTCGCCTAGTGGCTACCCCATTTGGCGAAGATGCTGGACCAAAGGGCGAGCTAAGTCCAAGCTCGCCAACCAGCTTGGCGTGTCGCCCTTTGACCCCTCTATATTGCCTAGCGGACTGCCTAAATTTTAAGCTCACTGGAAATTTGGGCGAGTCAAAGGTGCACTTGGCAAGCCAAGAAGGGCAAATGGGCGAGGTAAGTCATGAAGGAGGGGAATTTTTAAGTTGCAACTTTAAGGGTTTTTAGTTCTTTTCCTAAGTTGAGTCCTTATTATTCTATTCCTTTCCTAGCAACTATATAACCCTTTTGAGACCTTTTTAGACTTGAATTCTCTCATTTGAGTCACTCCAAATAAATTAAAAAAGAAACCCACCTCCTCTCAAATATTTCTCTCTCTAGAAATTCCCAAAGAAGAAGAAGAAGAAGTGGGAGCTAGGGTTTTGGATTCAAGGCATTTCTTCATCAAAATTCTTGGGGAATCTTAGTAAAGGTATGGTGATCCTTCATCTAGGGTTAGCTTTCACCCTAGAGTCAATTTCAAAGAGGTTTTCAAGTTCATGAAAAACCTAGGGTTTTACTCAATCTCAATGGTTCTTTCTTCAAACGATTTCAAATGGTTTCTAATGTCATATAATGATTGTATTGATGTTTAATTGATGATTTATGATGAAAATACTCTATGAACTCATGATTTCTCTCAATTCTTAAATTGTGCCTTTATCAAGTGGGTTTGTTGATTATGAAAGCTTATGATTGGAATATGTCGAAATTGCTTTGGGTTATTGAATTGTATCATTATCTATGCCTTAATCATGGTAAATTTTTGGTGTGTTGATGATTTGAGATTCATGGACATGACGACAATTTATGGCTAAATTACATGTTGAAGTAGAATTGTGCTAGAGATATTGATCCACTTGAAAGATGGAGGTGTTTAATTTACTATGCATGATTATGATGTGAAGGATATGCATGTGATTTCAAATATAGAATGATAATCATGTATAGAATGTAATTGTATTATTGTTGATAGTATATTCTTAGTTGATACTCATTAATGATGAATAATGGAATGTGAATGGTTTTGTCCTATGTATTGTATATGTTGAATTGGTAGGCTTAAGGCATCCTTTTCTTATATTGATGAATGTGATCATGAATGAAGTATCATGAATTGGTAGACTTAGGCACCCTCTCTTGTATGATGAATGTGTATTGACATGATGATTATGAATCGTTAGGCCTATGGCATTCCTTTCATAAATGAATGAATGATAATCCTTGAATCGCTAGACCCAAATGATGGTATCCCTTTCATGTGTGAGATGATGACCCTTGTATCGGTAGACCCAATGATGAAGGCACCCTTCTTGGAAAGTCAATGAGCTACCCTTAATGTACCTTGAATCGGTAAACCTAGTGATGGTGGCCCTTTCTTATGTAATGTACTTTGGGGTCGGTAGACCTAGTGTTGGTAGCCCTCTCAAGTACAATGATGTTAATGTGAATGAACTACTCTATGGGAATGAAGGCTAAGCTCCAAATGGATATGGTAAGATGGAAACTCTCCCAATGTTAGGCTAGGGTTCCAATGAATATCTTCCTATCCCATAACTATGTTCCCACATAGGATATATATTAGCCAGTGGTGTTCTTACCAAAGCTAAGATATCACCTAGTTCTACCTTAGACAAGTAGAACACCTTCTTTCGGTGTTGGGTCATATGACATCAGATTCCATGACTTAGCTCTCATGGTCTATGTCGGTTAAATGCCTATTCCCATCATGTGAGATGTGCATTATAGTTTCTTGAGAAGTTCTATGAAGTGTGGGTAGTAGTATGGGATGCTATCCATACATGGCACGAGTAGGGTTCAAGAGGGCTATAGTGAGTTCTCTAAGTCTTAACGACTAATGAATGAAAGTCATCTAAATGAAGTAAATGAAGAATATTGACTCTTAAATGCTTAATGTGATATGCATGCTATACTTGGGTTGTATTATGAGTTATTTTCCCTTTTCATGCCTTATGAAATGTTATGTCTCTTATGTATGAATATGGTGTAAAGGTGAAAAGGAAGAAATAGTAAGTTCACCTTTGGTGACCTTAATGTGGTGCCTTGGTGTGGATGGTGGTATGGGACGCCATCCATGCATTGCACAAGGTATAATATGAGGGTTATTTAAGGTGAAGGTCCAAGGTGAAGGTAATGGTTTACATTATGATAATGTCTAAATGTGGAGTTATGACTTGTATGATGGTTATACTTGTATTGTATGTCTCTCATGCTATTGTTAATCATATTTCTAAAAAGTGGTATAATGCATGGTTTCCAACCAAATGTCCCTTTTAAAGCATGTTTTTACATGGTCATCATACTAAGTACATTTCTGTGTGCTAACCCAAATTTCTCTTATTTTTACTACAAGTGTAGGTTCCGACAAATGATTGCTTCTAGATAGATAGAAGTGCTTGGATTGCTATTCCTCCAAGGCTAGAGTGGTACGTCCTCATAGATCGAGGACAACTGCCTTTTTGAAGTTTCTTTCCTTTTTCATGTAATAGACATTTAGTAGTATTACAATTGTAAAGGGTTGTGTCCCTACTTTTGTCTTGAGTGCTTGTTTAAGATGGCCATGTGATATTTAGACTTCCGCTGTGTTTTTTGAAAGATTGTTAAATGAATGTTTTGAATCGTATGGTTTTAGATGAAAAGTTTTAATTATGTACTATTTTTATTACCTATGCCATGAATGAATACTATGAGGCTTGTATAAGACCCTTTCTGGGTCGAGTACGCCGTGTTACGACTAGGGGGTGCTCTCGGGTCGTGACAATAGTATTGGTCGACGACCACGATCCATGGTCCGTGGGGTAACCTACGGACCGTAGATCTAGGTTTCTCATTCCAAGTAACATAACAGTAGCCCAAGTTGTGAACCACGACATGGTGATTAATGTTTCAAGCACACCTCATCCAATTCTAGGTGCAAACGATCGTTAACTAGTAGAAAACCCAACAAAAGGGTTGGGGTCAAACCCACAGGGAGCGGTACGTGTTCAAACTCAAGTATGAAGTACAAACGTGATCTAATAAGTTATAGGAATAGATATTACTGAAAAAGACATGTAAACAAGTCTAAGGGGATGACACGAATGTCAGATGGGGGGTTTTGGTTTGTAATTATAAGCTACAACACAATCAAACACTAAGGAAATAACAATATAGAGAGGAGTTCTCGGGGTGTGATCGATTATAGGCAAATTTCACTATATGGGCAATTTGAAATACTAATAAATAACTAAATATCAGTGGGTAGGCTGGACTATGAGTGAAATAGTTTTCTCTCGAACAACTATCACGTTTCAAGTGATTTTTTCGAACATCAACAAGCTTATCAAATAAGAACAACCCACAACCTTAATACCTCCACTTTCTCTAGCTAGATGGGTAGGATTGAGTTTAGGATTCACTCTTTCGAGCTGAACCCATATGAACCCAATACCTACAAATCATTAATCAAAAGCTTTGGTTCTAAAACCTCTCTCAAGCAAGCTAAGAACTCAAAATTAGAATTACATTTGCAACTA